ATACTTTAACTTTCTGTAGGTATACTAAACGGCAATGACCTAATATTTTTTTTCTATTACGGGTCATAAATCTCTGAAATTCATTCCTGTATTATGCATCCGGAGTTATGACACTTCCTCAACCTTTTAGGCAATAGATTGATTGTGTCCTTGAGTTGTTTTACTTGAGCTGGGACTTTTATAATCCTACATAGGTTGGGATTGTGGATATATAGGTATGTCACTACGGTCTTTCACCGAAGCGTCTAATGCCAACGTCTAGACTAAACTCAAAGAGGATTTGGAGGAGTAGCGTTGAAAAAAAAACTCTCACAAAAAAATGATCCTCCTCCTCACAAAAATGGTCCTATAGGATTAGTGACATGACCGTCGTTCCCATCAGTTGGCGGACCGTCAATTGCTGGATGTGCCTTTATCCACTCCGGCATTGCCAATGTACTCGGGCGACCGTATTTTGTTTGCAAAACCCTGAAGTTCTAAGGTCTCAGTATAGTTACAACAGCTGCCTCACCCTTCAAACCGAAACGCATTACTGCTTCACGGCAGAAATAGGCAAGGCGGGAGTACCTACCCGTCCGAACTCACAAGAGGTCCTACCACCAGTAATTACAATATCATACATCTAATTGAATATTTACGTGTCTCCATCTTGATCTACTTATAAAGTCTTGTGTTTGAGTTAGTTAAACGAAATATTCCTGCTCCACTAATGATAAAAATCGCGACTCTGTTGCAACAGCTTAAGGTTTTTTTTATTGCTTTAATGGGTGGACTAGCGCACAGTCCGCCTGGTGTTAAGTTGTTACTGGAGCCCATAGACATCTACGACGTAAATGCGCCACCCACCTTGAGATATAAGTTCTAAGGTCTCAAGTATAGTTACAACGGCTGCCCCGCCCTTCAAACCGAAACGCATTACTGCTTCACGGCAGAAATAGGCGATTTACCGGAATTCACATATTTTTAACCTTAAAAGAAAGTTTCCCCCTATCGTTTTTTCTACCTATAAATCCCGTAGAGTATTCAGACACTAGAACGACATTTCGCTCAGAAACAACATTCTGTTTTGAAACTTTAAAAGCGCAGCGCGAAACGAGAAGGGTGCTCTCGACGTAGTGAAATGAAAACCTAACAACCGATGTTGGGTGAAAATCAGTCAGATACGCTTTGATGTTACGTTCAGTCACATTAAAATTTACATATTTTTTCTCCGTGTATTTCTCTATTTGCTTTTCTTGGCTTTGATATGCTTTCAATACTGGGCATTCAAAGGAATATCTACTACGGCTTTTACAGAGATCTTGTTTACGGCGTGTGGTGAATGCTGATCACGGATCGACGCTGCATTTAGCATTGTCTTGTTTCTTTTATGTAACTATCTGAGAAATTAAAACGATAGAAAAGATAGCACCTAGAATCATGTCGCGTATTTTAAAAGATGACTTAGGACTTGCAGCCTATAAGAGACGTACTGGTTATTTCTTAACTGATAATTTAAAAGAGAATAGGGTGGTAAAATCGAAACATCTACTGAAGCGGTACGCAAAGGGAGGTCATAGAAAAATTTTGTTTACGGATGAGAATTTTTTTACAATTGAGCAACATTTTAACAAACAAAATGACCGTATTTATGCTCAAAGCTCCCAATTAGTCGACTGAGTGCAACGTGGGCACTATCCGACTTCAGTGATGGTTTGGTGGGGTATTAGCTATGAAGGAGTGGGCTGTGTGACTGGGCCATACTTTTGTGAAAAAGGTATCAAAACATCGGCACAAGTGTATCAAGATACCATTCTTGAGAAGGTAGTGAAGCCCCTTAACAACACCATGTTCAATAATCAAGAATGGTCCTTCCAGCAAGACTCGGCGCCAGGTCATAAAGCTCGGTCTACGCAGTCTTGGTTGGAAACGAACGTTTCGAACTTCATCAGAGCTGAAGACTGGCCGTCGTCTAGTCCCGATCTTAATCCGTGGATTATGATTTATAGTCAGTTTTAGAGAGTACGGCTTGTTCTAAACGCCATGATAATTTGGAGTCCCTAAAACAATCCGTACGATTGGCAGTGAAAATTTTTCCCATGGAAAGAGTACGTGCTTCTATTGATAACTGTCCTCAACGTTTAAAGGACTGTATTGCAGCCAATGGAGACCACTTCGAATAAGCTTTTTATACTTTAAATTGTTTTATATTTATGTATTAAACTAACACACTGTAAAAGTAATAAATGTTATTTGCCATAGATTTTTTTTTGTTTTCCTTTGTAACAGTATTTATGGCCAGACTAAGTATATTACAGATTTTGCTGGAGGCTAACAGGAATAAGACATTCTTGCCTCATATAAGCGTGAAGATTACTGGCATTAATTTCAGACATACAGTGACAGATAGGATAAAGCAGATATTGAAAAAAAAAAGTTTGGTTATAAATTCTGTCACAATGAATAATTGCGTAACAAAGAAATTGTACAACAAAACAAATAATATACGTATTAAATTACTAGATAAGTAGTAAGTAGTAAGGATAATAAACGATTTTAGACTTGTTCCGTAACTCTCAAACGACTATCATACTTTCGGTTTCAATTCTAAATAATTCGCAGTATATGCTGAATGAAATAACAACTTACAAATAGCTAGTGTCGTCTAATCAGACAGTTTCCTTGAGTAAATTTTATGTGGAAATACGATGTAATTTGCGTAGACGCTGCAGTCGCGACGCAATCAGCCGGCCGTATTGTGTTCCTTGGATTACGTTTCTGAGTACATTCTCAGTTCATACAAACATAGTCCGTAGGTGGAATTTCAGTATGCGACCTATTTGTTTTCACTGTTGACTTTAAAAGTCGTGATTTAATCTGAATTTCACGATATTTCTAAGCACAAGTTCGTAGACCCAAAGGCAGCTTGGTTTGAGTGAGATTGGTAAACAAGCTTCGAGTTATTCTCGATTCAAAATGGCTAGGACAATAAAATTGAATATATTATGTAAATGTAAAAATGGCCTTTTTGACATTTACATTTATTCAATTTTATTGGAGAGAAAAATAAATTTTGCGTAAATAAACATATTTTTTTTCAAAATATTAAATTTCTGCATCGGGCAATTCAAACCGATACCGCTGTGAAACTTTTTGGTGAATAATTGAAAACTGTTTCCAGTATCAAAAATTCGTAAAATTTTTGGTGAAATTGCTAGCGTACTATGGTGGCCGTGCAACACACGAGTAGCACAGTATATTGCGACTGTGTAAAACGGAAGTCGTTAGTAGATTGTTTACCGCCGTGTATCATCAGCGGACTTAAAATTCCATAAATTAGGTACCATTAACAAACCGTATCGTAGGATGCGAAAGGCAAGAGACAGAAAAAGAATGGGGTGCATTTGAAGAGACCTACACGCAGCATTGAGTGGATACGGGTTGAAGAAGAGATCAAATCGTACTATATGTTTGTGCAATGGGTGATATTTGAACTGTCCAAAAGCCAACAGTCCAAAAAAAACCAACCTAACTGCAATAAATATTAATCATAGAACGATCACATAGAATTCTTGGTTTTCTGTTTTCCTTGTTAACTATAAGAATTAACGTTGATGAGTACCTAAGCTGATGATAAAAAGATTAATCGTTTTAAATACCTACAAAACATTTTCACTCGTCACACTTTCAGTTCGGACGGCGAGATGATACAATTAAGCCGAACACGCACTGTTTATATCGGACATATTGTTGCACATGCACTTTTTTAAACCGATTTCTAAGATAAATCACGATTATTTTAGTCGGTTTTAGACAGGCTTTTTCCTTTTAGGTTCCATAGTCTAATGATCAAAAGTCAAACCCTTGCAATTTCTCCGTACTGTATCTCATAGATATTGAAGTAGGAAGCCATTCATAGTGCATAGATGTAATTTGGATGCCATGTATTCTATGAGCCGTTAAAGGTATTTCGATGTCACTTTTGTTGTAAGGATGATTAGACATCAAAAGTCATCGTGGCCTAAAGGATAAGGGCCTGGTGTACTCGTATCGACCGACGCGATGATGTCGTTGTTAGAATCTCGCAGCCTCTAATCAATTTTCTTAAGAAGGTCACAATCAATTTGTTCACGAATTATTCAAACTAAGAGTTATATTTTGGATACCAAGTTATTATACAATTCAGATATATAATTAAAGTCTTATGGTGGATGATGGCGATGATGATATCCATGAGCTCCGCTAAACACTCAATACGGCGTGATACGTAAATTTGTTCAATGTCAAAAAAATCTATTGTTAATTATATTTTATAATTGTTTTATTTTTAGCTAAATCGGGTATATAGCATCCCTTATATTTCATCTGAAACTTATAAATTGATTCTGATTTGAATGATGCGTCACCGAACTGTTTCTATCTATTATCTCGCCTATTGAGCTATAAAAAGCCATTATTCGTATACAATTGTATCTTCGACCTCAAGTCTTAAGGTGACTTCGAGGACTCTTGTTAGTTTTCCAAATAGTTAAGTTTTTCCAACGTTTATAGTAAATGTCAGTTTATAGTGAATGTCAGTGTCTCTTCTTTCTTTTAAGAAGCTATAAAAATGGAGGGTATTTTTTTGCTACAGGACTAGTTAATTATCGTACGTAGTCAAAATTACAACTTGCAGAAAGTTTTGGGATGTGAAAATTATGGTATTCACTATTCATAATATATGATGACATGTTTTTGTGATGTTTTTATATCCTGTCTTTGTGGTACAAATTTTGCCATACTTTTTAAACTTCATTCTCAATATAAAACTAGATGTTACTTATACAAGGAAACTACTAAATCAATCTCAGCGATAGGTATGGCGTAATAGGGATTTAACAGTAATCCAAAAACATTTATCCAACTTTAAACTTTAACATTTAATCCAACTTTTAGCATTTTAATCAAATACCTATCCTACTAAATGCAATTACTGTCCATTAATATTATAGAATGTTGAAAAATCAATCACAGTAAATAATTTAAACGTATATAGCCGGCAAATAGCTCTTCATCGACGGTCCCGCTCTTCCTAATGGTGGTAAATTTTCTTTTCTTCCTGATGGTGTGAGATCTTTACGAATCTGATCTAGATTTCTTTCTTTGTTGAAATTTACATTGTTCCTTTGTAGTACCTTGTAGTTTCTGATGACACCATGAAGCTCTTCCTGGGACATGTTCTTCTTATTTTCACGTTTAAATTGTTGTGAATCAATTTCGGGTTCTTCTTCGTAGTGATTCCTTAAATTGTTACGATTTAAATGTGTTTTATTATATTGATTATTATTCAGGAGTTTGTTGCTATTTTTTAATTTGTTAGATTCGAAATAGTTCTTGGCTGATATCAAATTTATGATGTCGGAGACTTGAAAAGGTCTGATGTTTTCGTTATTAAATTTTTTTGAATCCGTTTGGATATACTTTGGATGGTTTTCTACTTGTTTTTCTTTTAATGATTTAGTATCAGCATTATCTTTCGGAGCAACAATTTTCTCTTCTTTCTGTCTCTTAAAAAAGCGTTTCAAGAAAATGTTTTCCTTTAAATTGTCATTAAAATTTTCGGTTGTTGTTTCTTCCTGTGGTTCAACCGTTTGTACGGTGACAGGACTGAAATCGTTATTTTCATTACGAGCAACAATATCAATGCTATTGGCAGTACTTATATAACTAGACTCTGAAGAAACGTCAGTTTTACGGGTATCAATAATTTCATTCTTTTTATTAATGTTAAGCCAATTCAAGTACTGCTGTTGCTGATGATTTACGGGTGAAGTATTTAAATAAGTCGATTCTGGTTTATATTGTCTATTTTCAACATCCGAATTTACGATTTTAGTCATTTGAACGTTATTATTGCTGTCAATATAATCATAGGATTGACTGACAGTTTGACTGGGAGGTATAAATTTATTTTGAGTAATTATTTTGGCTCGCACTTGAGACCCTTCATCATTACTTGGGAAAAGCTTTTTATTATCAAAAGCGTTTGACTGACTTTTATAGTTACTATTGTAATTGTTGGCCCAGTCGTTGTTATTAAAATTATTCATATAGGACAGTTCATTGGGTGTTGAATTACTTTCTGTGGATGTCGACGAAGTGTAAACATGTTTGTTAATTCGATCCAAATGTACGTTATCTTGTTTGATATTTGCTAAATTAGAAAGTTGATATTTTCCCGTCACTTCATTGAAACTGTCCCTAGGTGCTAGAGTTTGCGTTTCTATCTTTGAATGTATCATATTTGTATATTGCTCAGGAGTCATTTCGTTAAAGTTTATCATTACGTCATCATCTTCACCAAATGATCTTGATATCGAGTTTTTATCAGGAGTCTGGTTATTGTCTTTATTGGCATTGTATTGCCATTTTAGTAAGTTCTTATTTTCAGGTTCAGTTTCTTTAATGGCAGCTTCATAATTAACCAACTGTGGCATTGTTGTCTTCTCATTTAGTCTGGTTATTGTTGGCTGTGGCATACTTGCGGAGGGTATATGAGCACCTTGTGAAGCCAAAAATGTTATTTGTGGTGATATAGTAGAGCTTTGTCTAGTTTTTAGATGTTCGGAAAATGTTTCCGAATAAGATTTAAGAGGTGACTGTGGGCTTGTTGCTGCTAACAAATTATTCTGTGAATTTGCTGCCTCTAGGAAATTGAATGAAAACGATTCTGGGGTTCTCCCAGTATATAGATTATGTGTAGGCAAAATAGTAAAAGTATTTCTTTCAGTATCTTGATATATATCATCTTCTTCGTTCCAGTTCTTAAGATGGGCTGGTTTTCTTGCCTCTTCAGCTAAGTTGTGTTGCACAGCCCTGAGAAAGGAACAGATCGAATTTAAGGTTGATTATATGTATTATAATAATGTATTATAATTATATGTATTATAAATATTTTATATTAACTTATAAACTATTAATATTTCAAAATATGTAGCTATAAATACGTAAGTATGTATGTGAAAGTATGAATGAAAATAATTAATGTAGATAACAGATATTATAAAGAGCCCTAAACAGCACAGGCCCGCAAAAGTCAATTTTAGAATCAAGACATTACGTTACCTTTGAATAATTTCAGGTACAGGAGGAGGTACGGGTAAGTGGTCACCACTAGCTCGGAATCCATTCGCATCAGCAATATAATGTACTGAATACGTTTGCCCATCATCACCAACATACGAATATGATCCTTCAACAACTTGTTCTTGTTTATCATTTCCAATGTTCTCCATACGGCTATGTTGTACATAGTGAGTTTGATCTGCACCTAGAGCTCTAAAATTAATAGTAATATTGTACAAAAAATAAGGGTAAGCTTTCCAGTGTATTATAGTTGTATTGTCATGATTGATCTAATATCAGAGACGCACATTTAAAAAAAAACATACTTACTCATAACTGAAGCTTCCATCTAAATCCATTTCATTAGACAAACGTAGTATTGGAATAGCTGTCTCTGTTGTGGACGATATAAATAAACTTGGTAAAGGTAGATATTGAGGAATCGGAAAATTTCCTGATTTAGCTTGGTCTATTCCTTGGTCATTTCTTTTTTCTGGGGATACCACAACGTTTCTTTGAGGTGGTTTTGGTAAACCATTTTGGATTTGTCTATTGTTAAGTGTGAACTGTTGTGGCTTTCTTATTTCAGGTTTCATATCGATTCTATCAATAGGATGTTGGTATTCAACTGTTTTTGGAAGGTTTCTCATATCCAGACGTTGGGTTTGAAACACGTTTGTATTCTGTTCAGTTCGATTATTTTTAGTGTCAAAAAAAGAAAACCGTGGTGGTGAAGGTCTTTTGTCTTCTTCATCGTCTTCGTCCTCGTAATCGTTGCGCGATGGAGGGCGGAACGTCGACGAAATCATAATTGGAGGAAATGGTGTAGGAAACGATGTTGGTGCTTTGATAGGATCCAGTGGTAAATAAGGAAATGGCAATTTGTTCATTTGATTTACAGGAAAATACGGTGCGGGAGTGACCGTTTCAGGGGGAAGATAAATTGAATTCTCTGAAGCCGATACACCTGGACCGGGCGTTTGAAAACGTGATCCATAATTTTGTTCATGGCTTATTGAAACAGATATTAATACGATAAGTAGCCTCTGAAAATAAACAGAAAAGGATTTACCTTAAATTTAAATAATCCACGATATTACTGTCACTTTAACTCAACACCCACACTTACTGGCTTCATTTTCTTTGAAGTTCTGTAGTTTGATTTTGTACTCTCACGTCACACTGTAACAGTAGTAGAAAACTGAATGATAATGAAATTGAATACCGAATAAATTTATACACACGCGAGATTCTCGTGTCCAGGCATTCGTGAAATATCTTTAGACTTGTAATTACGGTTTCTCCTCGCCGTTTCTGTCATATTCACTGTACTATCATTAAGATATACAGTAGTACGGTATGTGATGAAGTTTACATTCGTAGCTCTTCTAATAACATATTTAATGCGGTGTGATTTAAAACTTTGCCTTTTTGCCTTGCTCGTTAAAGTGATGATACGTTTCTGAATCTCTTTACTATGCATGTATATTAGTTAGGAAACTGAGCAATCTACGCAGATTGATCCGGTCACCATCCTCGTCGAATCCGTCGCAAGCGACGATGGGCTTACCGAGCGAATTAACCCATAGACACAGACCACTGAGTTTCTCGCCGAATCTTCTCAGTCCGGTGGTAGATTCTGTGAAGTACTGCTCTTGTTATGGTCAGTGTTAGTAATACTCCGGTTTGAGCCCCGTGAGCTCACCTACTAGTTAAGGTTACGCTGAAATAGCCTCTCAAGGCTATCAGCTTAGGTAGGGGAAAAAACGCAGATTTTGCTGATGTGGTTCACTGAATGAATTCGGTAGTTAACCGGTGGTAGGGCATCTTGTGAGCCCATACGGGTAGACACCACCATCCTGCCTATTCCAGCTACTAGTAAAAAACTCGATCCGAGAGTTATTTTTCCTAAGCTAACACTGGTTTGTAATTCATTCGTCTCCACCATTATTTTCAATTCTTCATTATAATTGTTTTATGTCTAAATTTCGACAGGATCTTTTTTTCCGCATTTATGTAAATCAACGATGTATAAAAAGGCACCATGCTTTCATTAACAGAGGAGAACACAACGAAATGTAAGCAAATAAATACCTAATATCAAAATAATATTTTATGAACTTTAATTTAAAATCAATTTATATTTATGAAGCCATAAAACAGTTTATGTACCCTTCCATTAGGAATGGATGAACTTATTAAATTTAAATTATTCAGGACAAATGTTCTGTTGTATGTAAACTTTAAGCCCAAGCTTCTTTTTTTTCGTTAAGTGATTCATAGTGGACTAAATATAGGACGATATAAACAACATTTGCATTTGCTAAAAAAATTATTCAAATAAAAATCTTCTTTATTTATTTTTAAAGAATGCAGTCACGAAAGATAAATCAAGTGATTTTGTTCACCGAAAAATACCGATACCTTTAATCGAGAAGTTTCATTAATTAAAGTTAGCCCCTATGAAGATTCCCACGAAGAGGGCACTGGTCGATAAACTGGAGATTTAATTTGGTCATCCCAAAATTGCCGATTCAAGCTGTGTAACGAGAGTCATTGACCTCAAGACCGGTTCCATCGAATTTTTGTTAACAGGACGTAAAGCAAAATTAAGGGTATCTGCATGTTGATTATTAGTCGAACAGACACCATATATTTCAATTTTAATTAATTACATACCATTGAATATTACTCGGTAGATTTTGTCATCCCTCAAAAAAATTATACCAGAGAAATTTCGATGCCGTTATTTTTCAAGACACTTGTAATTAGCGTTGACGTATAAAATGAAAAGGTTTTTTCAATTAATTACTTTTTGAATCTACCATTCGTTCTGCTTAAAATTAATTTGCCAATTGTTTATTTGTGTTATTATGAACCACTACGTTAAAACAGGTTCGGATGGACTGCGGTAATTATGTTGTCGTGGCCTAAAGAATAAGACCCCCGGTATAATCTTATCAAAATCAAATCCTGCATACATGTAACAATTTTTCTAATGAAATACGTTCTTAACACACCTTCACTATATCCACGTTGAATGAAAAACCTCGTGTAATAACAACTAAATTTGTAAAAACTGAATGCGCATAATTATCTTACCATTGAGACACAGACATGAGGTCTTAAGGTACGAGGCGTTCACGTTGTGATTTCTACGGAGTCCATTAATCACTTAGCATAAGGTTAAAGGTGCTGATAACGCAATAAATAAAGTAAAAAAAACCTTATTTGAAATGCTTATTTTAATTAGCAATCTTATATCTTATTTTATTTTTATAATCATTTTAGAATTCAAATTTAGCTCACTACTGCTTCCTATTATTTGAGCAAAAAATATAATAATAATTATATTTGTTAATTTTATATGTTATTTTTATCTATTTCAGGTAAGTTCAAATAAATCACACAATGCTGTCTCTTTCGGGTAAGTAAAATACAATAATTATTACACAAAAAGTTTATTGTATTAATATGACGAATACATCACAATTCGATGGCTTCAAGTATACAACGTTATCACAATATCGTTTTTCAAACAGTTATCGAGTTCACAAAGAACAATCGTGAACAGGATAACTGATACCTCCCCAAAAATATAGTTCCATATTAGATTTCGAAGACCATAGATAAATCTTCTGAAGATCATAAACTCATAGTTTTTAAGGAAAAATGAAATTTATAAATTTATGATTAGAAATTTAAATAGTCATAGTTAAAATCACATTTTTTAGTCTCGTGTCTCGTAAAATTTGCATACGATCGTTTAAACACTATCTACTTTTTACCGTAACTTGGATAGTTTTGTTCTTGGGGGTATGACTGGGATGGATAGTGACTGGGTGCTTGGGTAGGGTAGTAGGTAGGGGGCTGAGTTGGGTAGTAAGAAGGAGCTTGAGTGGGATAGTAAGTTGGAGCTTGGGTGGGGTAGTAAGATGGGGCTTGGGTGGGATAGTATGTAGGTGCTTGGGTCGGGTAGTAAATAGGCGCCTGTGTGGGATGATAAACGTGTTGTGGCTTGTTCTTTTCAGCTTCAGCCTGCGCGGCTTCCTCTTTGGCATTTTGATCAAGGGCCCTGTGAAGGGTAGAAAAGAAGAGTTTTAGATTATTTATAAACTCGATTAATTTTCTTATTGAGTGGAATAATTTTTTTTTTTTGCTTAGGTGTGTAGACGAGCTCACAGCCCACCTGGTGTTAAGTGGTTACTGGAGCCCATGGAAATCTACAACGTAAATGCGCCACCCACCTTGAGATATAAGTTCTAAGATCTCAGTATAGTAACAACGGCTACCCCACCCTTCAAACCGAAACGCATTACTGCTTCACGGCTGAAATAGGCAGGGTGGTGGTACCTACCCGCGCGGACTCACAAGAGGTCCTACCATATGATTATTCGTTACAAGATATGTCGAGCATTTCTTTGTGTTACGAGCTACTGACATTTATATAATGTTCCACAAATACATTAGCCGTTTGAAAAACAGAATTAAATTCATTTTTCATTAAGATAAAATTTAAAACTGCGGAACTTAACGACTGCAGAAATTACGGATGTGAACAATAAAAAAAAAAACCTTTTATCATCGAGCAAAATTGTATACTTTGCCTAAATTTCTAGCCAATAATAAAACTTTAGCAAAACTTGTATGTATGTTGTGCAGCTGATATTAGCAAAAAAAAGCATATTATTATCTTTACGTTTACCTGACCATCGTTTGGAATGGTTTTTCGTTTTGTTTTTTTTTTTTTTCGTACGATCGTCACGCAATATCCCCTGAGGTGATTTGAATATATTAAAATTTATTTCAAAGCTTACACAGAACCAACATAAATCTAAACTGATATATATATAGAGATAGAGAACTAGGAATCTCTAAAACGGGAAGAAATGTTGAACTCACCTAATTAATTTTGAAATTATCTATAATAATACATTAAAATTGAGAAAGAAAAATGTATTTACAGAGATGTTATACGCGAATCTTTGATTAAAAACAACGGTAAACACGACCATTATGCGATATTCCGTTAGGATAATTTAGCGTTGTTATGAGAATTGGCGAGAATATTTAAGAATACATTCGATTTAATGTGTTGTAAATTTTACGAATGTTTAACTTAGTCAACAAAGATTGAAAACGAAATATTTGTTTTTTTTATTTGTTTGAACGTTTAGGCCAAGACAAACACTACTGAATTAAATTAGAGACATTTCAAAAATACTAGAGGTCCCACAGTAGTCGAAATTCGACTATAATTAATTGGAATTGTAAGTTTGTACACTATTATGATTGTATTTTATACTTCTATAATCACAAATTTCGCTAAGGCTACACTATAAAAATATATTAATAAAGACAAACAATATTTAATCTGTTCTCAATTTGACCACAGACGTCAAGAACAAAAGTTTGACAATAAATAGTATACATACGTGTGTGCGTCAAATACATGGTATGTAGTGTGTGTAATGTTTTCTTTATTGATTTAATGTATCTTTTATGCATTATTTAAAAAAAATATTAGCATTGTGCACTTCTTCTCTATATTCTGTATAAGTGTGGAAAATTTCATACTCTTCCGTCCGCGCAATTTTCGTAAAAAGGGATACAAAGTTTTTGCTTCACGTATTAATATATATTCAAAAATATGTAGGTAACACGTATATACATTGATGTTGTAAATGTATATTAAGGTCTAATTCTAACATAATAATAAAGCTTCATTAAATAAGTGTTCTGTTGTTATTATTTTTATACAGATCACGTGGAACGATAGTGCCATTTTGATATGTGTAAAACGAATAAGTATAATTCTAGCGAAAATATATAATAAATAACGAATCGATAACTTAATTCCGATTATTTAGAAATGTTTTTTTCAATATGAAAATGTGACAATTAGAAATGAAACTCTATATTAACCCTGCCATGGTTGATTCTCATAAATTAGATTTCAGAATTACTATGGGATTTTTAAGCTACAACAGCTATATAAACTGATTTTTCGTCTTTTAGCCTATTACATTAAATTTATCGCAAGTATTTATAGTGTTGTAAGTGTTCAGTTATATTATGTAAATCATTCACTTCTAATTTGACAGTGTACAACAAGTACCATTGTTCGAATGAGTATCTTTATTTACTTAAATTACAATACAATAGTAGACACACTAGTTTTTGCTCTTTAAGTAGATACCCATGTAAATCTATCTTGTTCCGTTATTATGCAAATAAAAACTTTGAGTACCCACCTAATTTCTTTGTTTGAATATAATAATATTTTTTTTAATATTATAGATTTTTTGTTAAATAGGTTTATATGACTTCGGTAAATAGATTTTATAGTTGAGATATTTATTTAATGAAGAACTATTGCTTATTAACTACTTTAAGTAATTTATCACGAATGTTGATGTGCATCCGAATAGTTTCCATTATTGATTTGCTTAGAGAATCTGAATTATCCTGTGAGAGTATGTAACATGTAACATTGTAAAGACTTGAACGTTTTTGTTCTATTGTATGTAAACCATACATATTATGTATGTTTTTTTAAATTCCATTTTTTTACCCTACCCATTCGCCGCGTCGGTAACCTAAGGGGCTATTGCAGCTACTCCCGGACGGGTAAGTAAGCTCAAGGGATCAACCTTAAAGTATTTGCTAACACTAGTCCTGGGAGACTACTCCTGAGAGGAGTCCTGGAAGAGTACTTCGCACAATCTATCACCGGATCAGAATCGCGACCCGTTGAGAAGATCCTGCGCAAAGCTCAGTGTCTATGGGTTAGTTCGCTAGTCATAATTGACGAGTTCGACGAGGACGATGACCAGTGCTAGAGGCGCTTTGTTGGGTGGCGCATTTACGTGGTAGGTGTCTATGGGCTCCAGTAACCACTTAACACCAGGTGGGCTGTGAGCTCGTCCACCCATCTAAGCAATCAAAAAGGAAAAAAAGAAAGAAAAAAAAGCACCGACAAGACATGAGGTTCCACATAGCACTGCCCCAAGCTAGTATTTTCTCCTGCATTATGAGTAGCGGCAACACATATTATTACAACAAAATAATCTGCTAAGCTAAACGTAAAATTCTTATCATTTTAGCAGCTTTTATTCGCAATCTTCATAAAAGCCGTTCACCTTCGTTAGAAGATTTTAATGTATGTTACATTGCTCATATTCAAACTTTATAAGTTACCGTTTTCTCATTTTGTAGTCGTCGTGGCCTAAGGAATAAGACGTCCGGTGCATTCGTGTTGAGCGATGCACCGGTGTTCGAATCCCAGGCGGGTACCAATTTTTCTAATGAAATACGTACTCAACAAATGTTCACGTTTGACTTCCACGGTGAGGGAATAACATCGTGTAATAAAAATCAAACCCGCAAAATTATAATTTGCGTAATTACTGGTGGTTGGACCTCTTGTGAGTCCGCGCGGGTAGGCACAACCACCACCCTGCTTATTTCTGCCGTGAAGCAGTAATGCGCTTCGGTTTGAAGGGTGAGGCAGCCGTTGTAACTATATTTGAGACCTTAGAACTTATATTTCAAGGTGGATGGCATTTACGTCGTAGATGTCTATGGGCTCCAGTAACCACTTAACACGCCCATTTAAGCAATAAAAAAAACCGTTTATTTGAAAACTTTAAGCTCGGTCTCTACGAAGCTATTACTCAAATAACTGTTCTTTAATCAAAAATACAAACATTATTATGTAATTACATACTTTGATAAATTCTGAACCGTAGGGTCCATATATAATTAGTCTATAACTCAAAACTAATATTTGTGGTAACATTTGTTGTCGACATAACGATTCCAATAGTTTTCTAATATGATGAAGTAAGCCTTGTTGGGCGTTCGGCATGTTATGAGTTCGCACGTTTTTTTTTTTTAGATGGGTGGACGAGCTCACAGCCCACCTGGTGTTAAGTGGTTACTGGAACCCATAGACATCTACAACGTAAATGCGCCACACACCTTGAGATATAAGTTCTAAGGCCTCAGTATAGTTACAACGGCTGCCCCGCCCTTCAAACCGAAACGCATTACTGCTTCAGGGCAGAAATAGGCGGGGCGGTGGTACATACCCGTGCGGACTCACATGACGTCCTACCACCAGTACCACCGGTGTTTCCCTCATATAGTTCCGTTCATTTAGTTCCGTTTTCAAGAATAATAGCCACTATCACGGTTCTATCGAGACTTCGAGCTATTTAAATTGAGTTTCAATTTGTCATAATTAGACGAGCACATGGCCCCAACGAGTGACGTCACTTTTCACAAATGCTACGTTTACCTAAGCAAAACCAAAACAAAATCGTGACATTTTTAATTGAACAAATCAATTCGAATCCTTGGCATTTCTTTGTAACTAATTTCGTTTGCGATTTAATTACTTTCCTTGAGTTATTAATTGGATACTAGGGGATCCGCAGTAGTCGAAATTCGACTATAATCAATTGGAATTGTAAGTTTGTACACTATTATGATTGTATTTTATACTTCTATAATCACAAATTTCGGGAAGACTACACTATAAAAAATATTAACAAAGACAAACCATATTCTATTCTCAATTTGACAACAGATGTCAATAATTGATTAAGAGATTAAGTTGTTATTTGATTTAATGTATCTTTTATGCATTATTTAAAAAAAAATATTAGCATTTTGCACTTCTTCTCTATATTATCTATAAGTGTGGAAAACATCATACTCCTCCGTCCGCGCAATTTTCGTAAAAAGGGATACAAAGTTTTTGCTTCACGTATTAATATATAGATATTATAAAGAGGAAAGATTTGTTTGTTTGTTGGTATTGAATAGGCTCCAAAACTACGGAACCGATTTGAAAAATTCTTTCACTGTTTGGAAGCTATACTATTCTCGAATGATATGAGCTATAATCTTTTTTGAAAAAAATTCTGGATCCTTGCTAAAATTCCAATAATGTAAGCCAAGGTGTAAAAAAATTACCTAAAATCTTCTTTACATCGGGTGCCCTGCGAAAACTATTCATGATAGAATAAAATAATGTATTACGACTTTATGGAACACATTATTATTGACAAAAGTGATGCGGCAGCATATCTCTAACCATTATAGTTATGCCGCAATAAGTGTTATTTTATTTAAAATAATTAAGCGTCAAATATCGTTGAAATTTTTGTTAAAGACCCGAGCGGAGCCGGACCGGACCGCTTGTTAAAAATAAACTGCATGGAGATTCTTTTTCATTCATTACGAACACATTATTATTTACGAAAAGTGTCGCAACAGTATATGTCTAACTATTATAGTTATGCTGCAATAAGTGTTCTTTTATTTAAAAAAATAAAACAATGTCAAATATCATTGAAATTTTTGTTAAAGACCCGAGGGGTGCCCGAGCCGCCGCTAGTATCAAATACATCCATATTTTCAATAATTGTTTCCATTGAGCATATCCTTTTCTGGATTCACGCCCAGTTTCGAACCTAGGGTAGATTCTACTAACAATTAGCGTATTTCTGCAGCGAAGCTGTTATGTGTTCAATTGTGACTTCGCCCTCATGTCTCGGGTTAATCATATCAGTTGATTTCTGAATCTGAATTTTTATTTTATAACAATATCTTTAAAATAGCAATCCTACAAATACTTACGCCTGAATAGCAGCAGGTACGGGAGGAGGAGTGGGTAAATGGTCCCCGTAAGCATGGTAGCCAGTCTTGTCGGCCCAGTAGTGGACGGTGTAAACTTTGCCATCAGCTCCAGTGTAAGAGTACCAGCCCTTTTTCACCAGGCTTGCCTCTTCTGTGTTGGGATTCGTGAAGTAGCCTTCCTCGCCTACGTGTGTTCCATCGGCGATTTGGTACCTTGCAAGCAAAGAGAAAATCAATTGCCAATTTGCCGGACCCCTTTTGCCGCGATCAATTCTTTGTTAAGTATCGGCTATATTGTCATTAAATACGTTGTTATAATTTTTTAGATTTCGCACCTACAAAATTGTATACCCATAATTTCCTTTATAATATATCATTTTTTTTATGAAACCATAAAACACGCCTACACAGCAATCGACACCAATCAAGACAACACAATTAAAGCACCACTAAACCGAATATGTCAGTTTATAAGTAATGTTTCAAGTTCAGTACAAAAAACTAAATTGGCTTCACGTACGACCACACCTACATTCAATGTTGTCGGCAACTTTGGAGAAATACTATACTTGACCCCGAAAAGAAGGACAGACGAATCAGTTCAGTCTGATATTAATAGTGACGTCATTTAGGCTACAGATTCCTATAGTTTTGAAAACAGGTATAGGGTTTTGGGAGCTCGCGGTAAATTGGTTGATCGTTTTGAAACGTTTTATTGTAATTCAGACAGAGGTGACCTTGTGCTGTTTGGGTGTCTGAGATCTGTATAACGTAACCAAAAAGGGTTGAATTTATGTGTTTTGAAATAAAGGGAACTTCGAACTTTTGAGTACTTTTTATTATTACTATTACTTATTTTTACTATTTGCTATTTTTACTATTACTATCAGTGTCTGGGTTTTTTTCTCAAAATTATTCGATAGAATATAATTTGGATGGCCAGAGTAACTCTTGTGTATTGACTAGAATATTTGAATATTTTTAAGTTAGAAATACATTTTGTTGATAAAATTCTTAGTATCCAGCGACTTAATAACCTATCTTGGTTCCTTTACAAGGTCATCTATGTTACGGAGATAGCCATGACAGATAAGTGTATGTTTATTTGTGGATTCTTCAAAGTGCTCATGTTTTTAGTTTAATTTATTTTGGTATTTTGTTTTTATGGCGTCATTCATATTCTTAAGCTTTAAGTTTGATTGTTTCAGTATCTGCTTCAATATATATTAGTTAGTTACTTCGTTTTAGTTTATTAAGAGATTAAAATATAGATTCTAAAACAGTCTGCTCCATAGCTTGGTATAAAATATATGTTAGGATAATTTTGTTAAAAATAGCCGTGCTGTTTATTTTACTCTGTGTTATTGAATCGGCATTAAATTCAATCGATTCACAAATACTTGTTTAGTGACATGGAATCTTGCCATTTTAAAATGCAATATCTTAAAAACGATTCTTAAAATTCGATAGGTATCTCATAAGATAGCATTAGTCACCTAAACCAACAACATGCAAATTTAATTGAATCTGAGTGGAAAAAGATCTGTCTCGAATCAATTTAAACCAATTAAGATAGCTCATAAATTATTATTTTTTTCAATCAAAAAAAGTAGATACGGAAATAAACGGTATAATATAAAACATATCCGAACGAAGCTAAATTGGAGCATAAATTATACAAAATTAGGACCTTTTTCGGATACGTCTATTTTTTATGTACAGTTATATTTAAATTAGTTGTAAATTAACCGGAATCATGTCGTCATTCTAAGTAGAAACTATAAAATGTTTCGGGTTTAGCTCTATAATTACCGTTAAGGTCTTGTTTGATTTGACACATAACCCATTGTTTTACATAATATTTGCCTGACGAAGCCTTGGTTTTTTTTGTAAAATATTGTTTAGAGATGAATCTAAAATCGTGCATGCATTTTGGCGGGTTCACTGACTTCATTTCGTATAAATGTAGACTTGTAATATTATTTTTCGGTGTAAATGAATAAATAAAGAGCGTCAGAATTTTGAAATTTATAGGACTTTTTTGTATAAAATTCGATGCATCTATTACAAATGATATTCATTTGGAAATGCTTGAATCTGATACACCATCTGAGGCAAAACTGCGAGGACTTAGTATTTGAATATTTTCTCATCTGATTAGCAAATTAGCAATTCTGTATTTTTGAAGACGAAGTAATAATAATAAAATTTCCACACGTAACGACTTTGAGATACAAGAAAAACTACGGTACCACTTTAAGCAGCCTTTAAGAACATATATTATCAACACTCGACCAACGAGGCGATATATATCACTGTTTCAACTATGTGAAGAAAATTGTGGTGAACCAGGCGGTATCCCCTGTTGGTTTTAGATTAATGTTGAGGCCGTCATCCATCACTTTGTAACACAAAATAGCTTTAGCCCTTTACTTAAGTCTAGCGTTAGACGTATAGAAATAGGCCTATATAATTAACTATACGCAAAAACTGTTTTTAAAGTTAAAATGTTAAGCAATTCACAATAGTTATTTGGATAATTTTTATCGTAATTTATCAGACAATTTACTGATAGATCGCTTTTGTTTTTTTTTATATATTGATCTCGAGATAATAATAGTCATGAGATTTTAAATGATGATAAAAATAGATTGAAAAAAAGTATAAAACAAAATCTTTTGAAATATAAAAACGAGTGGGTACTTACTCGTATTTGTAACTGCCATTATCACCATAATACATTTCATTCTTGATCACTGGGACGGGAGTTGTTGTAGTCGAAGTCTGATATGAAGGCGTGCTCCAGGTGGGACGATACGTGTTTTGAGGAGGAGCATATGTATTCTGAGGATAGTATGAGTTTTGAGGGGGGGCGTAATTGTTTTGGGGATAAGTGTTTATCGGCTGGATCGGCTTGGGTGGAGCGTTCCACGTATTTTGAGGTTTCCACTGGATAGGCGGGCTCTGGTTCGAAGGTGCGTACGAGTTGTATGCACTAGCAGCCGTGTTGAGGTCTAAGCTTTTGCTTAGTAGACCAACAGATTCCGCTGCTTCTGAATCTTCGATTTCTTTATCGGATTCGACATTATCGGCGAATGTAACAGCCAGGAAGGCAGCGACAATGAGAATCTGGAACATAAGACATTTTTTGAATGAAGCCCTATCTACAATATACACAAATTAACAATTATCTTAATGTGTAACTAAGTCAAACTTAATGAGAAAAAATCCAAAAAAAAAAAGAATTTTTGCACGATTTTGCACTTTTTCACAGACAGCCTCAAGGACTCACCAGCTTCATTTTGATGTCCTTCTGTGGCCGTGGTCCGTTCGATACTGTGACCACGAGGGGTCGCTCCACATTTATAGCCTAAAATCCTGCGTCCTCATGCGTTCGCGCATCATGATGCTGCGCCAAGATACAATGACCTCACTCAGATTATGATGATACATAACAAAAATATTTTGGGGAAAATGGGGTTTTTAAATTTCATTCAGTATTTTATTTTTTTCTTGTGCCTAGATTGCAAAGTTATGAATAATTTTAGTTCATTGAATACATTTTGTATTCCTTGCTCTGTGAATTTATTACAGTGCGGGTCAAGTTTAGTGATGTCATAAATTTTATTTGACTACGAAATAGGTATTTCTATGATTACCGCGACTAGACAGATAGTCTATATAAAGCTAATAGTAACGGTTCATTATGTTACGTTCATTAGAAGCAGCTTGATGAAAAATTGCTAGTTGTTTTTGTGTCGACATTTGATTTAGGTTTTACAAGTCTACGTGAATAGTGGTTTTAATTGCTGAATTGTAAACAGTAACTGTAATTGCTCTAAATTTTTTATTTAATTTTTTTTTGTTATTGCTTAGATATGTGGACGAGCTCACAGCACCTGGTGTTAAGTGGTTACTGGAGCCCATAGACATCCACAGCGTAAAGGCGCCACCCACCTTGAGATATAAGTTCTAAGGTCCCAAGTATAATTACATAAATAAATACACAGTAAATTTTTAGACTCGACTAAATCAAATTTGAACTGCTCTAAACAGAGGATCTAGTGTGTTTTTTATTCATATATATATCATCCACCGAATTGCTTACTAAAATGTTTAAATTTCTTTTTCTATATTAAAATTTATCTTTTAAAGCGCCCATAAGAATAATGTTATGAATACTTGAACAGCATTTATGATTATGCGTTTTACAGTGAAGCGATTCCTAGTCATATTAGGAGTAGGGGAAAGGCTACTTTTGATTTGGTTGTTTGTATGGCTAATCTCTATTCCAATTACGAAGTCCCACGCCAGATGTTATTATTATGTTGTTGTCTGTGTGAACTAATTGTATAATTATTTATATTATTATTATTATTATTTATTTATTATATTATTATTATTTTAAATTATGCGAAACGTGAAGAGTTACGTTCTAAGAAGTGTCAAAAGAGACTTCGTAATTGGAATAGAGTATAGTTAGCATGATTTCTGTAAAATAGGATTCGGGATCGATTTCGTTCATATTCAACATGTGCAAAGATATTTGCATTGCATTACCTACGATACGCTGTACCGCCTATAAAAATATATGTAAGTATTTGTCTGTATTGTTGATGTCCTCATTTCGATAAAGCACGACATGAGAACCCTCTCATCGTGGCCGACGGTAAACATTGCCGATCCTGCGGATCGAATGGTAAACAGTCGACGTCGACGTCGACGTCGCAAAGCACGTCATCTCGAATCCTCACGATTCACTAACGGTGCTTTTAGGTACCCCAAGCACCGGTTATCGTTCTCGTCGAGCCCGTCGCTCGCGACGAAGGGCTCGGCGAGTAAATTAACCCACAGACAGCTCATTGAGTTTCTCGCCGGATCATCTCAGTGGGTCGCGTTTCCGATCCAGTGGTAAATTCTGCAAAGCATGGCTCTTGCTAGGGTTCGTGTTAGCAACATCGTCAGGTTTGAGCGCCGTGAGCTCACCTACTAGCCCGGTGACGCTGATATGGTCTCTCTAACTCTAGACCATAAGATAAGGTAGGAAAAAAGTTGATTGTTTTTTTGTAAGTTTTTATATGCAGTTTTTTGTTTTTTTTTATATTTCTATATAACTGAGGGGTGGAAGGTGAAGGACATTTATCTTTATAATTAAAGTTGCATTTTATTTGGTATTGATATCAATAGTTTAATGTTTTTAATTGAACTTCAATTAGTTCACTACATTCCAATATCTGAAGAAGAGTTTTTTTTATGATATTTTTCCAAATTTCAAACTATAAATAGCTCTTCTGTAAAGTTGCAAAAATGTCGCTTAAACCAATAGCCTTTCACCCTTCGATATAACACAAATTATAATATACTAACTGTACACGCCCGCTTCGCTGGGAATTTAAAATTAACATCATTATTTATTGCCATTATTATTAGGGAGTCCAACACTCATATAAATATTAGCCTATCCATTAAGTACATGTATTTTCTACATGGATACCAAGTTTTAAGTCAATCGGATGCATGGTTCAGTAGTTATAACGGAACATCCGTAAAAACCACTATAGTTTTATGTATTAGTATAGATATAGATTTTATTTGTCGGTTTAAATCATTTATTTACTATCTTGACTTAAATAAGTGTTATTAAAAGTTCCACGTTCGTAATTTGCGTTGAATCATTTCGCGTAGCATTTAATATTATTAAGTTTTTGTCCGTTCAAATGTTCTCATGGATACGTCGTGGGTGTACATTTGTGTGTTTCAAGTTTAGCGATTGACCATAATATACTATTTATTAGACTCATTCTAATTGAATTTGGAGGACAATGACTGATGTAATTACGAATACATAGTATATGTACATATATAGGTGTGTGAGATTCATATGATAAATTTGGAGATATTTGAGTGTTATAAATTATTTTTGCGGAACCACTCTTGTGCGATACGGTTCGTTGTAAATTAGAGTAACACTAAAAATACATTTTCTAAGCCCTTATTATAATGTTCACAGCGACGAACTCACGAACCGATAATTAAGCTCATAGAGATCACAACCTGAATGCTGCTGTCAAGTATGTTAAATCTGTTGTATGAGAGGCATTTGAAGTCAAGTATGAGAAGTCTTAATTGCATTGATCACGGGATTCCTTACTGTTCTAACAAGAACGCATCGCTGTTGTGTGGCAGAAATAAACAGCGTCGAGATATCTACATGTGTTCTAATACGCCCTACAGTAAAAAAAAATAAGATCAGTATTTTTATTCGTCGTACCTATTTTTTTTTTTTGGAAGGCAAACAGTGAACTTAAACTTAATAAAATTTAATCTTACAACTAAACACCATTTAAATGACTCCACATTTACATAACTAAAAACTAGAACCTAAAACTAGCCTAGAACTAAATAATTAAAGCAAAATGTAAAACAAAAACAAAAATAACAACAATTTGGAAAAAAAAACAACAGAAAAATGAAGTAAATACAAAATAATCAATTAAATATTTGTATTCATCCATCGACTGACTAATGTTCTCCTAATACTCTTAGTAGAAGTGTTGAAAATGTTCAGCCTGTCTGTCTGTCTATATATTAATACGTGAAGCAAAAACTTTATATCCCTTTTTACGTAAATTGCGCGGACGGAGGAGTATGAAATTTTCCACACTTATAGAGAATATAGAGAAGAAGTGCACAATGCTAATTTTTTTTTAAATAATGCATAAAAGATACATTAAATCAATAAAGAAAACATTACACACACTACATACCATGTATTTGACGCACACACCCATGCATACTACCTATTTATTGTCAAACTTTTGTTCTTGACGTCTGTGGTCAAATTGAGAATAGATTAAATATTGTTTGTCTTTATTAATATTTTTTTATAGTGTAGCCTTGGCGAAATTTGTGATTATAGAAGTATAAAATACAATCATAATAGTGTACAAACTTACAATTACAATTAATTATAGTCGAATTTCGACTACTGCGGGACCTCTAGTAGATTATTATAACGTAACTCAATATATCTGCAATCAACGTGGTACAATATGTATTCGCATTCCGCGACGCAGCCCATAACCGAAATATTCCGAAACTTGTATAACTTGAGTTCGACAAAAATTTTGATCGGTTTTTATTTATCATATTTCCCTACAGCTACAACAGCTGCTTAGCCAATCAAAACGATGTCGGCCTTCGAAATGGGGAACCTCCATTGGTATAAACTTTTATCATGTAAGAGGCTCTAATATTATGAGTTCACATTGTAGCGTGTCAGTAGCCTGCGTCTCTTTGAAGTAAGTACATACTAATCTGGACATTTTTACTTATCATCGATGACAGACTATAACCAAATTTATGATTTAGTGTGAAATGTTACAACCGTACATATTTCATTTATTAAAATCTTAAGTTCAAATTACTGGAGTTCTTTTGCATATCGATAATACGCCACATACCGATACCCACTATAAAGAGATATATTAATTTTTTTTTCTTTAAAATGTTTGAAAGATAATTTCACAATTTTTTTTTTTTTTTTT